ATCTTCTAGTATGTTAATCTTTATACCTGAAAGCCTAAATCTAGCCTCTCTTAGCTGGCGATATCGGTCTATACTATATTTTAATATCTAAATCGGCCCTAGGGCGGTTTTCCTAACCCTACGTATTATTTAGATATTCTACCGATTATTTACTTTACTTTTGCCTACTATATAGATGCGCTGACTATTGTTTGCTTTACTTTTGCTTATTATTTAGATATACTACCGATTATTTGCTTTACTTTTGCCTACTATTTAGATGCGCTACCTATTGTTTGCTTTACTTTTACTTATTATTTAGATATACTACCGATTGTTTGCTTCACTATTACCTACTATTTAGATGCGCTGCCTATTGTTTGTTTTACTTTTCGCTATTGTTTAGATACGCTGTCTATTGTTTGTTTCGCTTTTCCCTACTGTTTAGATACGCTGCCTATTGTTTATTCTACTTTTATCTACTATAAATATCCCTACCTAATTCTTTTCTCTAACCCTCTTTTCTCTACCTACCTTCCTCTTTTTCTTTCTCACCCTAAAGACTCTATCCTTTAAGAATAGCCCTACCACCGCTTCCCGCAGGTATTACTGCTAATACTAAGGGTAGCCGCTTTAAGAATAGCTTTCCTATCCCCCGCTAACCTACTAATGTCGACGAAGCTAAGCTTATTATAGCTTACTTAGCCTAGCCTAGCGCACTACCTACTCGTAATAATTAGATGGCCGAGTAGTTCTAGTAAGTCCGCCTTCTTAACGATATCCTTAGCCTAGTTAACGCCTGCCTTTAAATCTAGATTACTGAGGATGCCTCGCGTATTAACCGTTTCTAGCTCTTTAAGCCTATCTTCTTTAAGAACGGTAACCGACGCAATACCAACTTCTAGGAATAGTAGGAGGGTATAATTCTAGAGGACTAGGCCGATCCTAAGGTTTAGGACTATATAATCAACGAGAAGAAGGCCTACTACCTTCTTAGTAATAAGGTCTCTTACTACCGTAGTACCGCTAACTAGCTCTACTACCTCGGTACTATAGATAACCCGGTCTTTAAGAAGTCCTAGACTAGAAGCATGCTAGATCCTAGCGTAGTCCCTAGTACTAAAGAGTAGGAGTAGGCTAAGGCTAACTATTAGAGCCGGGGTGGTATACCGCACGAAATTGCCGTCTTAATTACTAATACCTACTAGATAATAGTTTACAACCCGTCCTTTAACGCTCCTAACGCTACCCGTCTATCCCACCTAAAGATAGTTAACTAGCTTAGAGAGCTAGTTAACTCTCTTACTAAGACGGGTACTAGTAGGGAGCGAAGCCTTAATAAGAAGATCTAGGTTGCTGGCGGTAGGAATATTAACGATGACTATAGGGAGATATCTCTTAGGTGGATTATTAAGCGGGTTGCTAGGTGTTACGGTAGTGAGGCGGATTTAAACTAGATTGTGTAGGATTAACTATAAGACGTGGTACGAAGAGGAAAGGAAGAGAACGAGAGACGGCGGCTATATATATGGCTCGCTAGTAGGCGCTAGGCGCTAAGCGAGAGACAACGAGCGAGACAAATATAAATAATAATTGATAAATAATAAATAAGATAAACTATTAGAAACATGAATAAATAATAATTAGTAAATAATAAATAAAGATAAACCGTTAGCTAGCGCTTGCTAGTAAGAACTATAAGGAACGCGCTAGAAACCCGTAATATTATCCCCCCCTTTCTTTTGCCGAGCTCCTGCGAGGCCCTTTAGTACCGTGTAGCGGGTGGTTAGGATGTTCTCTATAAGGATACGTGAAATAGAAGTCCGCTGCTAATTAAGTAAAGCTAGAGGATTCTTCGGTAGGAATATCTAAGTCGTTAGCTAGACCGTAGTTTTTCTAACGAATCCTATAATAGTAAGTATCGTTATCCCCCTAGTATCCGTTAATAACCTTTTCTACTACGTATTCTTCTTCTTCTTATTCTTTAGTCTCTACCGGAGGGGGTAGCGTAGCAGATTACCCTAGAAGAGGATCCGTTGACACGGGTTTTAATAGGGAAATATAGAAGGTAGGGAATATTTTTATCGAGTGTGGCAGGTCTAGAGTGTAGGCGTAGGGAGAAATAACCTTTAGAATGCGGAAGGGGCCACCGTTTTTAAAGTTAAGTTTA